GATCCTGCAGTTCAAACAACTTTGAAGTCTGATGTATTAGCCTACAGCACCACACCATGACTTGGTTTTAATAGTTGTTGTTGTTAGGTGCCATTGAATCGGTACAGACTCACAGCAACCTTATGTATAGCAGAACGAAACACTACCGGATCCTGGGCTGACCTCACTATTGTTTCCACACTTGAGCCCATTGATGCTGCCACTAATTTAATTAATTACAAAATGCCGCAAAACTAATAGCAACAGCATTTTCTCACACTTCATTTCGGAATCACTGTCCTAAATATTTTAAATCTGAACCAAAGCAAACTAACATTTTAACATGCACTCAAGAAAAAACACAATGCTCTTAGATACTCCATCTTATTGATGAAAGCCACTTACTTTCAAGTTGCTACTAAATTTCTTTGTAACAGTCTTCTTAATTTATGTTGTCTTTTTAACATAACTTCTATTACACTGTAAGTGAATGAAAATATTTCCATTCTGTTTGCCACATTTTCAAGAACATACTGATGGTAGTGGTTGTGAGCCATCAGTCAGTTTCAACTCATAGCAACCCCGTACAAGGCTCCGAGGATGTAAATTTTTAGGGGAGCAGAAAGTATTAAATTTCTCCCATAGAACAGCTGGTAGATTTCAATTCCTGACCTTGCAGTCAGCAGCCCAACTTGTAACCCACTATGTTAACTAGGCTTCTTTCACTTCACCCTACAAAGAATAAATTTAATCTCTGTAACAACTATCACTCAAAAGGAAGAAAAGGCCTTAAGAACTTTTATTATTGTGGCAAACTAGGAAGACGAAGCAGTATTCTGAGATTTTCTTCTGCTTATCTATAACACAATGCAGACTCATCTCTTTTACTGTATTTTTAGCCAAAAGTGAATCAAAGTGTCTACACATTTAGTGGCTGTAGCGAGCCCTTCATAATAGGTCAAAGAAATTATTCCAATAGAGGCCGTCAGTGTTAGACAAACACTAGGTGGATCATATTTTTGTGAACATACCTGAAAAACTCGACATTACCGTACGGACATATTAACACCCAGCTTTATTAAAATATGATCAGTGAAGCTTTTAAACAAACACTATAGGCAACATGATATTAGGTTGTTTCCTTTAACTAAAAGATGCTTTACTTTATAATTCACATTTTATAATGAAGCAATTCAAAACTAGATAATTTCTCTGTGCATTCAAAGTAAGTAAAATTTATAAAATATCAGCTTAGTTACATATTTTAAGGTGCATAAACATGGATTAAGGAATGTCAGAACTTCTACTATAAATTAAAAGCTTACAAAATGTTACTTACCCATACTATAATTTCCATTAGACTTACACTTTTAAACATCAGTTTAGAAAACTGATGTCCATAGATTCTCTATACATTAGGTCTATTCAATATTAACTCTTAATCATATATGTTACATAACATTCCTATGGAGAAGCAAGACCTTCCCATTGAGATCAGCTTGTGAGTAGAAAGCATATTTGGGTATATTATTAAAGTTCTACATTCTTTACTATGAAATACAATGCATACATACAAATATAAACACATTCACCTTGGCAGCTTATCTTATCCATCCATGATATTTAAAAGGCAATGTTCAAACATAAACTGTTCTATCCTAAATTCGTAACTGAATTGCCAGAGCAACCTATTTGGCGCCATTTTGCTCAGACTACAAAAACACAGTTTTGTCAGCAAAAAGATGACTTACCGGTCCAAAAGAATTACTGTCAAAACTGTGTCCATGATGATCACCTTCGACCCAGATGTGGCCACGTGGGACTTTGACATATCGATTTTTGTGACCCATGGTTCTAGAAAGAAACAGCATACCAACTCACATAAGAACAGGATGGGGTTCAAAGATCTGAGCCTAGAAACTCACAAAAGGCAGAGACTCTGTTGTAAAGAGTCAACAGATTATACAAAAGACACTCCCCTCCACAACTTCGTTTTTATGTAACATCCTGAAAAAGTCTATCCACAACACATTTTTTTTTCTTTCATACTTCTCTTGGAGACATTTTTTTGTTTCAGTGGAATGTACCAGCACCAAATATGACGATTTGCTACTTAATTTAATTACAATGTTTATTCATGAAATTCAATAGTTCTAACAAAATACTGGTCTATTTATTTTTCTAGCATTTGCTTTTATATCAATATTCAACTCTTCCCACATACTCACGGTCTGCAGCAATGCTCATTTTTAGTCAAATGAACTTCCCAAACTGATACCACTTTCCACACCCTGTTAATATGCCAAGTAGCATAGTGGTTACGAATCAGGCTGCTAACCTCAAGGTTGGCAGTTCGAAACTACCAGCGGTTCCGCGGGAGAAAGATGAGCATTCTGCTCCCGTAAAGATTTACAGCCTTGGAAACCCTGTACAGGGCCACTATGAGTTGGAACGGACTCCACGGTACTCAACAACAACTCAGCAGACATGAGAGATAAAACAGTCTGCTGGATCTCTTTTTGGACAGAAATTACCTATGTCAGTTGAAAATTTTTTATCAGTATTATTTGATTTAAGCACATTATTCTTAAAAACGAGAAATTCTCATTGTCTAAAAATTGGAAGACTTTTCAAAGACATTGAGGCAAACTGCATATTTTGAATGCTGGCTAGTAGATGGAATCAGGGAAGGCTCTCTCATTTTGGTGGTAATGTAAAATGATACATAACTATCATGCTGATTTTTGGCAAAGTTATCCAGAGACCAAAATGTTCACACCTTTTGATTTAGTTAGGTCATTCCAAAGTAAAAAGAACAAAAATTTATCATCAGGGGTTTTCAGCACACCCTTTTTTATTAAAAAGAAAGAAAAATTAAAAGCTACCTAAATATTCAATACCATGAGGCTGGTTAAATAAATTGTGACACAAACAGCCAATTACATAAATGACAACTGGAATAAAATATTTTCCCATTGACATAATAATGCATCCTTTTGGGGTGGGGGGGGCAGAGACTATTGTTTTCTTCTATTATTTCCCAAAGCAATCGGGAAAATGCCTAATCAGAAAAAAAAAAACAAAAAAAAAAAAAACAACTGCTTAATAAACATAGGCTGAATGAATATCACCTCCAAGATTCTTTTTTTTTTTTTTTTTTGAGGTGGGGATCCCATGAGACCATTTTTGTTAGTTACTTATCAAGTTATATATATACACACACACACACACAAGAGAATAATAAAAGAAGCAAGACAATGTATAAACTGGTACTATAGAAATTGAAACTATTCATTATCTAGGATGGTTTTTAATTTCCATATCATTTCAGTATTGAATTACTTTGCTTTTGATCTGTAAATCATTCATGCAAGGAAGCAAAGTTGTGGTCATTAGAAACCCACAGTAAGCTAATGACTGCTGTTTGTTTTTAATTACTGCTTAGAAAAAGGCTTTCAGCTTTTTAAAGAAAAGTATAAACAAGTTGAACACATCTTACCATGATATGCTCTGCAATATAAGTGTTCGTCAATTACAATCAGTCAATTTTGTTCTTGACATCCCAGTTACTTTTATCATGAGATTGCCTCTAAGAACTAATAGCCCACACCACATATTAATGACAGGGAGAAGAGCCTGTTACTTCAATGTTGTCAGGGCCTAGTCACCAAATCATCCAATCATTTATTCATTGAATTCAATTTGGTATTTTGAATAAATACATAGAAAGAAACAATTACTCATTTTTGTTTCTTCAAATAAATCATCTCAATAGAATTGCAAAGTGAAACTAGGATAAAATAATTTCTCCAATGTAGTAGGACTAGTCTTTGAGAAACCAGTCAGTGAAATAAAACCCAGGGTGAATTTCAATGCCATATAAACCAAAGAGAGAAGATATTTGAGATAGAAAATCAAAGTGTCATAAAATTATTAGTGGCAGTTCTACATTTCTTCGCATTGGCTGTCTTATAAAACCTAAATACATCTTTTCCCCATCATTTTCTAGCCCCTTACAATGTTGTATTTTTCATTATAGGGCCTATTAGCACTTTGACACACATTTACTGTTTTATTTAGATATAGACGCTTTTCTCACTCTACTAGAATGCAGTCTACAGGAACAGAAATGCTGCCTTTTTAAGTCACTAGATTATCCCCCAAACCCAAAAGAATGTATGCATACCAACTGCTCAATGTGTTAAATGAATAAATGAATGAGTGGATAACTAGAATGAAAAATACTACAGAATAATACAGCAGACATATTTTAAAATGAACAGCTACAAACAGAAAAAAAAAACCAAAATGCTTGATTTTAGATCTTGACACTCTTACCAATAATCTTGTACAAGTTTCTTACTGTTTCTGCTTCTATTCGCACATCTTTTAGACGTGGTGAATAAGACACACACTCACAGGGTTGAGGCAAAGAATGAAATGAGACTATAATGAAGATGCTGCCTTAGAGCATTGTCTCTGAACTCATATCTTGGCTTTTACATCAAACTTAACACTTTCTTTCATAGTACGTGAACTTGGGAAAGTTGATGAAACCACAACGTCCAGTTACTTCATTTATAAAATTAGGCAAATAATGGTACCTAACTAAAAAAAAAAAAAGGAGCCCAGGTGGCACTGTAAGATAAGCACTGGACTGCTTGCTGATTGCCAAGGTCAACAGTTCAAACCCAGTTGCTGCTCCTCAAGAGAAAAATGAGGCTGTGTGTTCCCATAAAGATTTACAATCTCCAAAACCTTAAGGAGCCAATTCTACCCTGTCCTATCGGACTACGAGTCTGAATCGAACTGTTAGCAATGGGTTTGGTTTTCCACTCAATAGGCGTCCTCAAGATAAAAGCAGATTATGAAACATTGGATAAATGAATGTTCTTCTTGCAAGTAAGGTTGTTTTTAAGTGAAGCGTTCAATATAGTTTGGTTGCAGAGTAAGAGCACAATAAATGGTAGTTATTATTGCGAGTGTCTGCCTTTGTCCAACATTTTCTTTCATTTCATAATTCAGAATGGATTCTGCCTGGGCTATCTATTAGCATCAGTCTTTTTAAAATTACTTGGACTACACTTCAATAATTTTCTTTCCTATAACTGGGTTGTGAATGCAGACTATTTTTAATGCTACAACGAATCTTTTTTTTTCCCACCTTTTATCCTTATGTTCTTTTGGGACACTCTAACACTTACCTGTGAAAACACTATCAGTTTATACACATTTAAATATACAAGGACTAGCAGGTAAAAACACCATCTATGTATTCGTGTTTTCACCTACCAATCTCTGAATACTTGAACGCCACTCTACTAATAGAGAATGGTTTATCTCCATCTGATACAGATGTGGAATAACTCTGAGCTGTTGAACTCTGGTAAAACTCACACACAGTTCATATTGTTTTTCTCAAGATTTCATCTAACTTTTAAAAGAATGATTCAAAGTAACTTTAAAAATATCATGTTAAAATACTGAGTTGATTCCCTTTAAGACTGAAAAATAAATACAATATTCCTAACAGAAGTTCTTTGGAGAAAGAATTTTAAATAGTCTGTGCTCCTGAATTCACATAAGAGAAAGACAAGATAATCTTCTAGGTAATTTAACAGTTATCTGAGGTGTCAAGCTACAAGGTTGTATGTAGCTATGACTTGCAAATAATTCTGGTTTTGACAGTCATAAATGAATTCTAACTACCTGTCTATAAAAATAAATAGTATTCTAACTACCTGTCTATAAAAAGGCACTTTTAGTAGTAGCTTTACCAAGACAAGTTACCCAGACCTTATAAATGGAATAAAGAATGATTGCCTCCAATTTGATTTCACCTTGAAAACAATGTTTCTTAAATTTCTGAATCTTTTGAGTATAGTCAGGTGAATACAAAACTACTGAGGATGTAATCCATGATTATCACAAGAAGGGAACAAATTCATATATAAACTATTTCCCAAATATAGATACCACATACATGCAAACGTCTACACAAAACATTTAAACAAAAAACAAATTCAATGGGATCCAGTGGGACAGAGGAGAACTTTCCATATGGTTCCTAAGGTTACCATCTTTGTGGAAGCAGACTGTTACATTTTTCTCTCATGGAGCTAAAGCAACTAATGGGTTTAAACATTTAATATTGAGTAGTCACCCAAGTGTTTAAGCACTGTGCTATCAAGCCGCCTTCATTTTTAACTTCTTGTAGGCAATCCTACTTCCCACACCTTCATTCTTGGTCCCAGGTAACCACTGCTCTGTTTTCTTCCATCATAACTGTGACTTTTCTAGAATGTCAAATAAATGAAATCATTCAGTGTTCATTCTTTCATTTATTTACTTTGCTGAATGCATTCGTGGCTTGCTCTCGTTTTTCTTTCTAAATAGTATTTATTATAGGAATGAACCACAGTTTATCTATTCATTAACAGTTGGTAGATACTTAGATTGCTTCCAGTTTGGGTTATTATGAAAAAAGCACTTAGTACATTTTACTATAAGTATTTGTGAAGACGTATGTTTTCATTTCTCTTGTATAAGTATCTAGGAGTGAAGTGGCTAGGTCATATAATATGTGAATATGTAAATTGTTAAAATGTTTCACAAGCAGCTGTATCAATAACATTAAGAGTTTCAGTTGCTACACACTGAATCAACTCTTGACATTGTCATTCCATTCGATTTTGGCTATTTTTGCAAGAAGCTTTAAGTTTTCATTTGCATTTCAGTATTGAATAATGATATTAAGTATCTTTTCACAAACATATTTGTCATCTGAATAGCTTCTTTAATATCTATTCAATTAAAAATGAAATTGAGTGTTTTTATTGAGTTATAAAAACTAT